TCAGGCAAAGCACTCAGTTTTAGTGGCGTTCGATCGCCAAAAATTCGAGGGAAATATTATGTCTGTAAATCGCGACACGTTTCAATCTTAAATATTTTCTAGCTTCTCTTCCACTTAACTATTAACTTCTAGCGGTAGATCGAAAATCTTGACTAATCAAAAACTTAAGCTAATCAATTCCTTCAACTTAGCTGAACCAGGTACAGGAAAACTGTTCGTTCGACAAACTCTTAAACATTTAAATATCCTCAGTCATTTCTTCTGTCTCATCACAGTTAAAGGAATTTGAGATCATCGGCAGGCGCCTGCCATCGGAGAAGAACTCCTCTCCCCCCCTCTATAAAATGAGGATATTTGCTCCTGATGATGTTGTCGCCAAATCTAAATACTGGTACTTTGTTGCTAAATTGAAGAAAATCAAGAAGTCCAATGGCGAGGTTGTGTCCTGCAGAGAGGTATGTGTACTCCTCAACTCTATACTTGGTTGGATGTTCGTGTGTGTTACTGCTCTAGCCTTACCACTCTAAGAAGCCTCTGTTTCAATCAGAAAAAGTGTATATTTTCAATATGATGGTGAGCTGAATTATAAACTTTTTTTGATTGGCTCCTACTCATGATATATTGGTGGACAGATGCACAGATGATGTAAACATTTGCAACTTTTTGCTCCTTTATAAAACGAATATTTTCCATGTTGTCATAGGTCTTTTTAGTAGTAGATCACAGAAGGAAATCAAAATGTGATAAAAACATCATTGACACATTTGGCTGCTCCTTGTTTACCATTTTTTTGTCTTTACCACATTGAGACATAATCTGTGATCTACGATTTACTGAACAGATACATAACAACATGGAATCTACTTGTTAAATGTTTGAATTATACACAGAAATAATTATTTCAGAATATAGGGGGTAAATTTCTGAATAAACTGTGGTGCTGCGTTGGTGGGAGAGTATAACAGATCATAATTTAGTATGATCAACTGTGTTGCTAATGTAAATTGGCCACTGTGAAGAGTTTCAAAGCTGATGTTTTGAGCATTTGACATTTCTGATGTTCCTTCACTCTGATGAAGGCTAACTCTTGAAACGTCAGCTTAGAAAATATTTACCGTGGCCAATTTACGTTAGCAACTCAGTTGATGATACTTAATCTAAGCTTGAAATGTCAGCCTAGAAACTGTTTACCGTGGCCAATTTACATTATCAACTCAGTTGATAATGCTGAATTACCCTGTTATTTCAGAATTTGTTTTTCTTGCTTACTGAATGACAGTATCATCTTTTAGTATATAGTTTAGCAAAATGGTTGTTATCTCTGTCTATTTCTAACATGAACTCTACTTTTTACCAGTTGCTTAACACTCCCAAAAGTGAATGATTAGTGTTTTCTCCAGACAATATAAATAGATGATCATGTGGAAAGGTGACAAGGGGAAATTATAGTATTATCCAGGAAACATCCTTTGACTTAGAGCAAATTTCTCATAGCCTTAAAAAAATAAGAAATGTAAGGCACATATCTAGATTGCTATAGGGTTAATGAATTAATGGAGCAAGTTGCTTAAAAAACAATGGTGCTGCATCAGTGAGTGGTATACAAGGTAATTTGGGTTTTTCAACTGAGTTGGTAACGTAGATTGGCCACAGAAAAGAGTTTATGAGGGTGATGTTTTGCATGTTAGCCCTTCATTACAGTGAATAGAAGAATTAAAGATTGTGTGTG